CAAAAAACAAAGTCATCTCTTGCTTACAGAAAAATGTCAACAATCATCTAATAAATATGGAGAAACTGCTATAGATAGAAACTCATTATTTTGCAACCATCATAGGAAAGACTAAATAAGACATCAATGGATGCTAAATCGAAGGGGAATTTTTGATGAGGAACAGACATTTTGATGAGGAATGGACATTTGCAGGGTCTTAAATGGTATCACCACAGATTACTTATTAATCGCAAGAGAGGAAAAACGTGGCAAAAAAAAATGAAACAAGGCCTGACTGCACGATCAAAATTAATTCCACCTATGACAGGGACACATCATGTGCCTCCAGATATGATACCCTTAGACGCACCACTACTTATGCAATATTTGGCTGATAATGCATAACTTCAACCTAATCAAAAGTTCTACATGTCACTCCCTTACCTGAAAACTTGCACTGTCTTCCCATTGTTGTTAGAATAAAATTCAAACTCCCTGAAACAGTTTACAGGGTACTTCATGATTCATAGCTCAAACCCCTCTGCTGCCACAGCAAACGCAACTCTTCTATTTCAACCCTTCTCTCTTACGCTCTTTGCTCAAGCCAGTGTTTTTCAAATTTCAGAGAACCATCAAAGCATTGTTAAATTTATCTAATGAACAAAAACAATGTATTTTCTAGTGCAAGCATACTTTGAGTTTAGAAATATATAAACTGTAGACGTTAAACAGGTTTTTAGCTTTGCACTACCAATACAATTTATGCCTAAGATCCTATAGAGATAGGAAGCAATAATAAAATCAATACTTTTCTAATCAACTATATAACCTTTTATATATTAATCACACAATGCTCAGGAAAAAAAAAAGATTCTTCAAATTTGTTCAGGTGTCTAACTTAAAAAGTAAAAATTTCCAGTAATATAAGTGCTAGTACTAAATGCTAGTACTGCTAAAACTAACCTACATTCTCACAGGAACCACTAAAAAGAAACCCTAGAACCCAAAAACTCCAAGAGCTACCATAATGACATCTTCCCAGGACACATATACCTTAAACATCTACTCGTGCAATGCCAAAAATTCCTGACCCCACTCTCCACCCCCTGAGCCCCATCACTGTCCCGTATTCCTCCCTTAAGTAGATTTCTGGAAAACACTGATGGAAGGACAAGGACAAGCACTCTGTCTCTGTCTCTGTCACACACACACACACACACACACACACACACACACACACACACGATTTAAGGAAACCTCTCATGCTGCCATTGCCCCATTGCACAAAAGTAGAGAACAAATCCACAGGGAAACTCACCACTCTGCAGAAAGAGGGAAAGATAGGGGGAAAAAAAAAAAAAAGGAGAAAGGAATCTCTTCTAGTTATTAAAGTCAGAAATCAAAATGACCAGGCCTAGATTCCTGTGAGTTCTCATCTGAGAATATGTGTCAGAAAATTTATCTGGAATCTGGAAATAGCAAAGGCCTAACTCACTGTTCTTTCAGGATGAGGGCTGGGCTTGACTTTCCGTTACTGGCCTACTTTACAACTTGTTATATGCGGTTTAACGTCTAGAATTTTGTTGAACAGAGACAGAAACAATTTCTGACCAGTGGAAAAGATGGCCCCAAAGATTACAGTTTATTGTCCTGTTGTAAATTATCCAGTTTCTACCTAAGCCAGCAATGTAAGCCAACTGTCTATGTAAGTAGCTTCTCAAATGTTTTTTGAACTGTTTTTATATTTTACTGGTTAAAGTTGAAGAAAATCTTCAACACATGCTCACTTTGTATTTGCAGGAGTAATAATTTTACCTTTTAGAAAATTCTACTTTAGCAAGCACCACTTTTAACACTGTTTCTATAGATGATCGTGGGTTAAAGTTCAAAATAAACCATCTTTTAAATTTTCAATCATTGTGCTTGACTGGACTTTTAAAATACAACTTTGTAGAAAGGGTTATAAATTGGTAAAGAAACTATAACTTAGAATAAGATTCATTGTGCTCAAGTCCTGTGATAGGAGAATGGGCTACACTGTATATTCCTTAATCATTACTACGCAATCACAGATATAGAGAATATCCTATGGGAACAAGAAGATTAGACTGATAAGAAAACAAAGCTGAAAGTCAATAAAAGGAGAGTTCAGAACAGTGGTTCTCCTCTACTCTGTGTAGAGATATGTTAAAATGTCAGACTTGGAAAAATTAAACCTGAATATCTGGGACTATAACCCAGGCACTCATTTTTTTTTTTTTTAAATTTAATCTCTCTCCACACTTTTCCTGGGTTGTTTCAGACCCTCCAGCTTTTTCTCTCTGCAATCAAAGAGTAAGAGAAAATAATGAACATAATATGGCTGATAAACTTACAAAGAGTGCTGTTGTTACCTCTATGTTAACAAAAACAGAAATAGTTTTAAATAAAACTACATATAACTATGTAATCTGCATTTTATTGCTGGATTCAGTTTGAGAAAAATGGACCCTACAGTTACTTAAAAGCTACTGCCAAATGAAGATCAAATGTATATAGAGATCTCAAAAAAATGTGATATAAACCAATAAAACAAATTTTGCTATATAAACCTCATTTGGCATAACTATCTACTCAGTAGGGGCACATGATATGTGGGCTGTAAAAAGCAAAAGAAGTATCTACTTCTTCAACTTATGCTTCAACTTATGAACCAAACAAAAATAAAGTTAAAAAAAAAGATGTCTTCAATACATCTGTATTCTGGAATTTAAACAAAGAATTTTTTCTAAAATCTTCCTACTTGCTGATTCCACTTTCTTATTTTCCATTCTGATCTTGCTTCTATCTCTGCTTTTGTGAAAGTTTCCAATGATCATGCTGTCAGATGTGACAATTACCATACACTCCGTTGAAGTAAAATGCCTAGGAGTTATCCTTAATGCCTCTTTCCTTCGCCACCCTATTCAGTGCAATCCTGTCAATTTCTACCATCTCAGTCTGTCTCCCTGCTTCCACTCAAGACCCCTCTACAATGCATGTTACCACTGCAGCCAGGGTAGTAAAGATACAAATTATGTCATAATTTAAAAATTATGTTGTCTCTTTAAGAGCCTCCAAAAGCTTTTGATAACATCAGGAAAGCATCCGAATGCTTTCTATCATATCCTTTAAGCACTTAGCGCCTGCCTACTTCTCCAACATCTTTCCTTTAGTATCTCCTCCACACGCTGGTCCTCATTCTAGTCAAATATTTTAAGAGTCTGCGACATTGACTGCCTAGCATATTCTTTCCCTTCCTCTTCACATGACTGCTTCCTCTTGTCCTTCAGATTCCAATTCCAATGACACTTCTTCATAGAGCTCTTCATTGACTACTTTATTTAAGGTAGTCCTCTCTTCGCCATCTACCACAGGACACTGCCTATCTTCTTCATCTTTATCACAATCTGTAAAAGCGTGTTTCTATGGGGAGGGAGGGTATTTCTATCAGTAGATACAAGCTCTCAGGAGCAGTGGGGCAGGGATCTTGTTTGTCCTGTATACCTGTTTCCTAGGGCCTAGAACAATATATGACATATAATGGGCACACAACGAATAGTTGTTTAATCAATGAATACTCAAATGGTGGCAGAGTCTACATCTACGGTGCTGGACTGGAAGTTATCTGAGTTCTATCCAGATTTGGCTCTACCAGCAATTAGCTGTGTGGCCTTGGGCACACCACAACAGACTAGAGTGGGTAAAGAGTCGCTGGACAGTAAGAAAGTATGAAGATGTTTTCCTAAATTTCGTCTAAATTCAAGAATATAGACATATGAAAGCCTTTAACCTGAGTCTGTTTTCTCATCTGTATGAGATCACTTTGAACGTCACTTCCAGCTCAGAAATACTAGAATTATATAGGCCTCAATCTTTCCAATCTGAACTTTCCTTACCACCCTTCACTGCCGCCCCTGCTCCCCTCAACAACCAAATTAAGGAATTAACCCTGCAACCAAACATCGCACAGCGCACTTTACTGCCTATACATTTGCTCATTCTGCCACATCTTCTCTCTCACCATTAGAAATTCTATCCTTTAATGCCCAGATACATTGTTAACCGCTTCATAAAACCTGATCCAATCACCTGGCCCAATACTGGTATGATCTTTAAGTGTTCCTGAAATACTTTTATACTTCAAATTCTTTTATCCTCGCTCACCCTGTTTCCTAATCTGTAAAATGGAGATCATAGTACCATACCACATACTATTGTGGGATAATTAAGAATCTTTAACTTGATAATAAAGTGTTCAATAAATATATTATTTGACAGCTACACATATTTTTCTTTCTCCTAGAGGTCCACCAAAGTGACTTTTTCATTTCTGAATCTGCAAAGGTTTGAAGCCATTTCTCCTCACAATGCCTTGAGTTTTTCATATCCGTAAAATGAAGGGAATGGACTACACCAATTAACATTCCCTCCGAAAATGACTTTCTCTTACATAAATAGCCTAAAGCAAAAATAATTCAGCTGAGCTTCGGTAAGGACGGGAATTCGAGGTAAACTGGTACTACAGCTGCAAATGGAAGTGGAGTGGAAGCATTTAAGTTAAAGTAACACTGATGAAGATTTGGGTGAATCCTATCCAAAGAAACTGACTCTTGCCTCAGTGATGGATCTTTTGTATCGTTTTTAAGTTGGATTACAGATATTCGAAGGATATTTATGCCTCAAGGGTGAGAAACAGGATGACCATAAAGAAATCGGTCTCGTTACGGAGGAAAATGTTTGTGTGCTACAAATGGACAAGAGCTTAGACATGAAATCAATGCCTTTCACCTAGCCCTAACCCCAAGGAGCAGGAAGATAACCTATGGCCGCAGGGAAGCTGGGACTGGCCATAAACGCTAAAGCAGCCAGCTAGGCGGGAGGAGACGTCTGCGGAAGTAGTGTAACCTCAGAGTTCGGCACCTTCCCCAGGCGGGTCCACAGCCCGCAGGCCCGCGGTTACAGACCCGAGCAGCAACCCCCGCTTCCCGCCCTCGTACCTGCCGGGTCGAGCGCCATCTCGGCGACACAGGAAAGCAGCCGCGTGGCCGCGCCCGGGCAGGGGGCGGGAAGGGGCGGAGCCTGAGCTCAGCAGCACGTGCGGCCGCCCGGAGATTCCCGCGGAGGAAGAATAGTAGGGGGAGGAATAGGAGGAGAACGGTGCCCTTGGCAAAGCTCAGCGGGTCCCTTTCCCTCTTTCCCGGTCGCTACTTCCGCCGCGCACAGCGCCTGCGCCCTCCAGGCCCCGCCTCTAATCCTGCAAAGAGTGGAGCGGACTCCAGAGTGGGAAAGACGGGGAAGGGGGCGTGGCTGCGCGCGCGCCTAGGGGCGGACCTGTGTCAGAACCGCGCAGCCTCGCTGGGGTGGAGCGCGGGACACCCGCTTGCAGATCAGGCTCTGAAGTGACGTGAGCAGAAGCTGTGGGCCTTTGGGACTGTCCCTCCCGTAGTGACTCGGTACAAGTACAAGCCCCTCCCTCCACACCTGCTTTCGGAGAATCATCCTTTTTATTTTTTTCTTCGTTAACGTTCATTCATTTATAAATGTCTATTTCATGCTTGCCAGGTCCCAGCCATGGTTTTGACTACTAGGGGGAAATAATTAAATAAAAATAAAGTACCCAATTCTCGAGGAGCACCCCGTTGGCAGAGGAGTCAGATAGAAGCAACACACTGTTAAAGGTGATAAATGCCCCATGAGCGAGATAGGCACAGCTTGTGCCAACCACGAAGGTGGTCTAGTGTGTGCAGTATCATTATTTCTCTTCCAAATCAGCAGTCTGTGGCTCCATTGGAGGTTAAAATTAAAAATTGGTAGTCACAAAATCATCATGGGGATGTAGAATACAGCATAGGGAGTATAGTCAATAATATTATAATAACCATGTACAGTGCCAGGTGGGTACTAGACTTATTGGGGGACCACTTCGTAAATTCTATAAATGTCTAACCACTATACTGTACATCTTAAACTAACATAAAATAATATTGAATTTCAACTAAAACTGAGAAAATTAAAAAATGGATGCTAGTGGTACCTTTGTTTTGTGAAATAATATCCTCAGGGAGTTCAGTCCTATTTGGGTGATATAATAAATCCCAAGTCTGTCAATTAAAGCTGTATGTTTTGTGAAGAAAATGAAGTAAGGTGATAACCATCCTTAAGAACCCCAACTGCCCTCTTCTCAATAGAAGACACTTTCTGGGGGGCAATTATGCTCATTTCTACTCACCAACCAGCCTTCAGAAATTCTTCCTTGTCGTATTCATGTTTAGCTAGCTCAGGCCTCCAAAGGGTGATGTGCAGCCAGGGACAGATGGGACAGATGTTAGAAAAACAAGGAGCAGCTGCTTCTTCCCTGCGAGGGATTTAAGGCTTTCAAAATGATCCCCTCCCTGCCTACCTGCAGTCCTTCCTCCCCTGCTGCTGCTTCCGCCTGGTCAGTTGGCAGAAAAGCTGACGCAGTTGAGCAGGGCTGGGAAAGTGGGTCTCTGCTCAGCATGTCTTCCGTTTAAGGGCCTATTTGGGCATAACAGCCCTTATTACAGCTGTAGGTTGAGGTGCCAAGGTGAAGAATTAATGTTTCACTCAGCCAGGCAGGAAATTGGGTCCTTTACCTTGTATGTCTTATAAATGTGCTTAGAAACACACCAAATTCATTCTAGTACTCTTTTTATTTTTCTAGAGGTGAAGAATTTAATTTAGAAAGTAAATCTTTTTGAGGACGTGAAGTTGGGTACAAAAACAAAGTCAGACACACATTGAAGCAATTAAACTAAATCTTCCTATATGCAAAAGACCATCTTGGTAAAGAGAGAAACTCAGGGAGCTTTGGTCAGAGACCTAGCTAGGTACTTCCACCTGAACCTGAATCACAACCTATTCTCTTTCTGGCTTGAATTAGTTCCAATGTTTCTCTAGACTTAGTTTCTCATTTTCAAGGTTGTTTTGAGGAATAAGTGTGGTATCATATAACAATTTTAATAATTCAAGGACCACTTCTATAATTTTTGCCATAACTGAGAATCACTTGAACCATTATTATTTAATTTTTTTAAATGAATTTTTTTAAAAAAGGCACTATATACTTTAGCCTTATCCTAAGAAATAATATCTGTAAAATCATGTGTTTGTATGCCCCATAAAATGGACTGCTAGACATATTACACCATGAGAAGCACTAGTAAAAATAGCACCTCAGTGCCTGGTATGTAATAATGTATTCCTCGCCTCTGTCATATTAAACTACATCATTTGAAGGCAAAGCCTTTACAATCTAACTGGGAAACATAAGTCATTTTTTAAAAAGTTAATTCATAGAAATGTAATTGGCAATTCAAAACAGAAGAAATTTCCTAAAATATCACATTGTTAACAGATAAGTCTTAGAGCAGTAAGTTAAATAGGCACATAAAGAGGAAAGAGAGCACATTGTCTTGGAAATTAGAAACTATGTATTATCCAGCCATGATCCCTAGAGCTTGGACAATATCTGTCACCTAAAGGCCTTGCAGTAGCCTTTCACAAGGATTAAATGCCAGAATGGTTGGGAATGATTTCGAAGATGAAATAGAAATTATGGTTGGCCTTGAATGATACATAGCATGAGTAGGCAGAGAAGATGGCACGTCACGCTAGAAGAAAAGAATAAAAGCATCTGGGATTCAAGATGTTATTGAAGGATAGGTGGAGCAAAGAAAAAGGGGCAGGTAAAGAATGGAAGAATATGAGTAGTAGAGCAGGGGCGTGGAAAGCAGAGGGGTGCATGGCAGGCATGTGGAGGGCAATGCCCTGAACCAATTAAATGTGTATTGAGGATTTGGGGAACTAGGATAGATGAAAATGAGACTGAAATATGTTAGAGGAGGCCAGATTCCCAAAGCCTTACACACGAGGCTGAGGAGTGTTTACATTTGCTGCTATAGGCAGTCAGGAGCTGTTGAAGGTTAAAAAGTAGAAAAATGGCATTGTGGTCAAAGTGATGTTTTCTAAAGATTTTTCTGCAGGAGAGATTTAGGTAGTGAGGAAAGAGCCGGAAGGTAAGCAGAATGGCAAGGAAGCTATTGCAGTAGTTCAGGCAGGATCTCAAAAAGAGCCTGAACTAAGATATGCAGAAATGTAGGAAGAAAGCATGGGTGTGAGAGTAATTACAAAGGAAAAAAATCTATCTAATTAAACTTTGGAGACTAGAACAAAGAGTCAGTAGAATTGCTAGGCAATTCCATTCCTTGGCAAATGAGAAAATCATGGCAATGCATCCATTCATGCTTCAAATGATCTGCCCTTGGTCCTCATTACTGGGGAACAATACTGAGACTAGGAAGGAGGAAGTTGCAGTAACATAAGGGAGCAAGGATAGTGGTTGATCCACGGTAGAGGATATAAGTGAAGGCAAAGTGAGGTATTTAGTATGTAGAATAGACATTTGTGTCTATTCTATAGACATACATATATATATGATATATATATATGATATCTTAAAGATTTTAGTTGTTTATCAAGTCAATTCTGACTATACCTAGCATTTCTTTTTGTTCTTTGTTGATATCCAGTTGGTTATTTTAAAAAATTGAGATGGTCAATCAGCCCCCGCTTGCTTCCGACTCTGCCCAGCATCAGAATTAAAGACTTTCCACCTGCAGTTCTGCCCTGCCCTATCATTGAGCCAATGAGAATTAAATTTGGAAGAATATTAGAAACTCCATCTCTACCAATAGACAGAGTCAGAACTAGTTCCTAGATAGGAAATCACTATCCAAGGGGCCCTGGTGGCACTGTCTGCTTTCTGAGCTGCATGCTTTAGCTCCCAGACCCCCATGGCCTGTGCCCTCTCTGATTTAAAAGGGCTTAGGTACAGGCGAACAATTATATGAGTTTGCTATATTAGGCTACCATAACAAAGTGCCACAGACTGGGTGGCTTCAACAACAGAAATTTATCTTCTCACTATTGGAGGCTAGGAGTCTAAAGTCAAGGTGTCCATAGGTTTGGTTTCTTCTGAGTCCCTCTCTCCTTGGCTTGTAGGTAGACAAATTCTCCTTGTCTCTTCATATGATCTTCTCTCTGTGTATGTCTGTGTCCAATTTCCATTTTTTATAAGGACACAAGTCATATTGGGTTAGGGCCTACCCTAAATACTTTATTTTAACTTAATTACCTCTTTTAAAGACCCTATTTCTGAATAGTCACATTCTCAGGTACTGGGTTTAGGATTTCAACATATGGATTTTCTGAGGTACTATTCAGCCTATAATCTCAGTCTAGTTTTTTATTTGTTTTACAAAGACTAGAACTCTTCCTTTAATCCCAAATCGCTTGGCTAACATTATTGCTCTCGCCAGAACAAGATACATTGTCCCTGTTTTCCTGGTTTTGAATAGGGCCTGTTTCACTATGGATCAGTCCACCTGGCCACTTCAGTTAGCAACTATCTGTCCCTCATTGTCCACATCCAATTGATCACAACACATTCTCCGTTCTTCCGTAACATATCTTTATTTCATCTACCAACCACGCTGTTCTAACTCTTAGTCCAAGATCTATCTGCTTTTGTAGAGATGATTACAACAGCCTCCAAACTTGCTCTTTACTCCCAGGATTTTTCTCCTCCCATCGTTCTTTCAAATCTGTTTCACCCACAACAGCAAATATAATCATAAAATTTCTTACATAAAATCCCTCAGTGGTTCCCAATATAAATAAAACCCAAACCTTTCCCTTTAATAAGGTTCACAAAACTCTTTATAAACTAGTCCCAGTTTACTACATCATCCTTTCATAACCAGCCTCCTGTACTCTGCAATTTCCACTACATGAACCTACTTGCAATAGTTTGTTAAAGAATCTATGGAGACTTTACTGTGCACTATCCCAGAAAAATGGGTAAAATTGTTTTAACAC